TACCATGGATTTATATAAGGGCAATAAGATATTCTCCGTCTTATTCTCTATTCCCTTTTTAATGATTCCTAACATCCTGTTTGCTTTTTTGACTGCCACTGCACAGTGCGTGGACATCTTCAGAGAACTATCCACGATGACACTAAGATCTTTTTCCTGATTAGTTGTAGCTAAATTAGCCCCCATCGTATTGTATGTATAGTTGGGGTTATTTTTCCCAATGTGCATTAGTTTACATTTATCCACATTAAATTTCATTTGCCATTTTGTTGCCCAATCACTTAGTTTTGTGACATCTTTTTGAAGCTCTTCACAGTCTGCTTTGGTCTTAACTATCTTGAGCAGTTTAGTATCATCTGCAAACTTTGCCACCTCACTTTTTACCCCTTTCTCCAGATAATTTATGAATAAGTTGAATAGGATTGGTCCCAGGACTGACCCTTGGGGAACACCACTAGGAGAAACCCCCTCCACTCTGAAAATTTACCATTTATTCCTACCCTTTGTTCCCTGTCTTTTAACCAGTTCTCAATCCATGAAAGGATCTTCCCTCTTATCCCATGACAACTTAATTTACTGACAAGCCTTTGGTGAGGGACCTTGTCAAAGGCTTTCTGGAAATCTAAGTACACTATGTCCACTGGATCCCCCTTGTCCACACGTTTGTTGACCCATTCAAAGAACTCTAATAGATTAGTAAAACATGACTTCCCTTTACAGAAACCATGTTGACTTTTGCCCAACAATTTATGTTCTTCTATGTGTCTGACAATTTTATTCCTTACGATTGTTTCAACTAATTTGCCCGGTACTGACGTTAGACTTACCGGTCTGTAACTGCCAGGATCACCTCTAGAGCCCTTTTTAAATATTGCCGTTACATTAGCTATCTTCCAGTCACTGAGTACAGAAGCCAATTTAAAGGACAGGTTACAAACCATAGTTAGTTAGTTTTGCAATTTCACATTTGATTCTTTCAGAACTCTTGGGTGAATGCCATCTGGTCCCAGTGACTTGTTACAGTTAAGTTTATCAATTAATTCCAAAACCTCTTCTAGTGAAACTTCAATCTATGACAATTCCTCAGATTTGTCACCTACAAAAGCCAGCTCAGGTTTGGGAATCTCCCTAACATTCTCAGCCGTGAAGGCTGAAGCAAAGAATTCAGATATGATAAAGCCTGTGACACGTGTCAGTATCATCTTAGAAAATAAGAAAAATAGTACAGAAAACAATATTTGCAGCCTGAGGAACGGTCTCCTCTAACACTCCAAATCCAATAGACTTATCTAGTATGTACATTAGCTACTAATGTAACGCTTTCAAATATATAAGTTTATTACATTTATCTTCTCCCAATACACAGCAAAAGGGGTTGCTCGATCATCCATAGATTTTTAATGCTCCCACACACTTTTAGTAAGAAGAAAAAACTCTCAGACCTCGTAGAATGAGATATGCCTACACACAAAGTTCAAATCAGTTTTAAACAACGTTACCACAATCTCAGTGAACAGAAAACTGAATGGGATAGCTAAAGCAAATCAAATGATTATATCATTACATTATCAAATAAAATTACCACAAGTACAAAGGAATAGTAAAATAGTCATTACATTACCTTTTGAATAGCAAAATATGGCCTGTTTAATATTGTCCTGCTCTAGTGACATTTCTGCCAGTCTAACCCACTCCTCAGTGTCACTAGGGTTTAAATGAGCTGCAATCAACTCAAATTGCAATGATTTCTCCATATCACCTTGGTCTTCATAGATCATGGCAAGAGTAGAAAATGGCTCATAAGCAAGAGGAGCTATTAAAGACAAAAATACTCATTAAGTTTTAAACTTTTTAACCAACCTGAAATAAAATAATTTAGGCTTCTGAAAATAATGCACATTAGAAGTATATGAAATATTCAATTAATTTGTTAAAACAAAGAAGAAACTTTCAATCTCCCAGTTTATCTTATGTGCAATTAAACAAATTGACTAAACTTTACTACAACCTTATATAGTGTTTTATCCATACAGCAAACTATTTCTACAAGCCATTTAGACCCCAATTCTGCAAAGTTAATGGCACTTAAGTACTTAAAGCTAGGCAAGGGCATAAGTCTTTGCAGGAACAGGGTCTTAATTTCTTTTTACAAACAACAACAACAGAGAGAGAGAGAGTGCTTAAAGATGAGCTAGGAGTATTCATATCATTAATTTGGTATTAGAACCATTTACAAATAGTCCAGTTCCTGATGCTGCAGTATCTGATATTAAATGAAGCAACAGTTAATTTTTACAGTTTCCTTGATGAATACTATAAATTACACATAAATCTTATTCCTTTTGATGGCTCACACACTCCCACGAAATATTGAAATACCTTGTCTTATGATTTCCATGCACATCAGTATAGCCTCCTCGTGTTCCCCTCGAGCAAACCTAATGTTGGCTTCTCCCATGAGGCCTCTGAGGGCTCGAGGAAGTTTACTACGAGGCCTTTTCTCCTAAATTGAAAGATTATAATAGAAACAAATATAAATATACCATAATAGGTTTGGCAAGCTGATCAACTGACCAGTCCAACAATATCAAATTGACCGCCTATTATTTCACCAAGGTCAAACATTGTCAAATATTCTAACAAGAATGCCCTGATGTAGGCGGTGGCATACCTTTTAGATTACATCATGGTGTACGTCTCTCTTTTTTTATAACCTCATTTCACTGTGTTTTGCATTTTTCTGAGTTAAAATAACTGCTAAGTAACTTGGTTGTTGTAATTAGGCATAAGCATCTAAGGCTAAGCCTACTGAAGATCATAAAGCCTTACTCTTTTCGGTTACTGTTCTAATAAATTAGTGCTCTAAAATATTTGACCATTTTTGGCTTTACTTGACTGGTCAATTGTCCGATTATTTTTGGACTGCTCAAATGCCATCCCTATTCTATTATGCCCAAATTCAAAATCAATCAATCAATCACATCTGTAATTTTTGTTAAACAAATATGAAATATTTTAAATTTGTTTCAGTACCAGTGGTGCTGATACAACTGTCAGAACTCATTTTGGTAGCTCACTGTGTAAACATCCATTTATAAAAGTTTAAAATCTAATTATAGAAAAACTAAAAATTATTCCCCTATTCTTTAACCAAGTGCCTTTTTATGAGCAGCCCCACGCTGGGATAAAAGAGGAGGACTCTGCAGCTGAATTTGTGACTTTGGTGAAATCTCACTGCAACAAGAACAGTTCAGTTAAACCAAAACTTGAGGATGGTAAATGCACATGGAGCTCAAAACCCAAGCATGACAGATCTCAATGACAGCTGAAGGAAGCTTATATAAAGCACAGTCAACAAACCGACTCAGGAACCAGCAGGAATCTTTTAAAATATACAGACATGTAAACAAATCAAACAGTTAAAAGGGATCAGGAGACATCAATTAGAACATTTTCAGTTAAGTTTTCAAATATTAGCACCATGTCTCTAAAATGATGCTACAGAAAACATGTATTCACTGTGCCTCAGTGGTATCATGCAGACTACATGAAGATTTTTAAATGCAAATACTTGCTTTCATCATTTTCTTGGTCTCTCGATTAAGCACCATCTCCAATACAAAAACATCTCCTGCTGTGGGTTGCTCAGGGGTTTCTTCATCTTCCTCCTCCTCTTCCTCTTCTTCCTCCTCCTCATCTTCATTTTCCCCTAGCATGGAAGCGAAGACCCGATGGACAGATTTACTGACCCCATCTGTCGTTTCTCCTGGTTGAAGAGAGTCAGAACAGATTTACAATACATCCTGATGAATCAGTGTGTGTTGATGTTTAAGTCAGGTCTAAAATACTGCTAGTAGTACAAATGGAATTGCAACGGTTGTTGCTGACCCCCCCCCATAATTTCCCCAATTCCCCCCTATGATTGACTGAGCCTGCCTCTTGGAGATACAGGGCACCCACCGGTGCAATGGCAAGCTTGGATATGATGGAGAACAAACATTTCATACATACATTCTCTAATTGAACAAACTGTAAACTGTTTTTAAAAGTCACTGTGATAAATGAAGGGGGGGAGGGAGGGCTACCTTTTATGGACACCCAGCCAGCCTCTTAGCTATAAAATCCCTGTTAGTAGCGGTTCTCTACTTGCTTTACCTGTAAAGGGTTAAAAAGTCTGACTGCATGCATAGGTAAAGGGAAGTGAGTGGATATCTGGCAAAAAGAGCCAATGGGAAGGCTAAAACTTTTTAAAATTGAAACAAGACTCCCCTTTTGTCTGTCTGTTGTTCTCCGGAGAGAAGGGACGGAGCAAAACAGGGCTGAAGCTATGATGTAAAAAGCTGTGAACCAGGTATGGAAATCATCAGATCATACCTAAAACTACTCAATTTGAAACCCCAGATATGTAAGTAGATCAGAAAACGTCTAGAAAGACACAATTAGGTTTCTTCCCCCCCCCCCCCCCAAATTGGCTTGTGGACTCCTC